TGCAGTGCGGTTGGGGCGTCTAACTCTCTTCTTCGGCTTATAATCAGAGCTTGCGTTGCCGGGTTGAGGTGTTAGCGTGGCCATATTTACCTCCGAGGGAGCAATCTTAGTATTTACAAAATGCGCGATTATCTCAGTCATCCTATCGCACTTTTTATTGAGCAGATAAACAGTTGCCAATTGGAGTGACTTGACATGTTGGACAAAACCATAATATGTTAGCAACTTTGTTTGTCTGTCTCACTTCTTGGGCGGATTTGCCTATAGATTGCGGGCAGTACGATCTAATGCAGCCAACCAATTTATTTCATTTGCTCATTTAGCGAAGAGTTAAGTTGATATATCTAAATGCATTTTGCGATATATATTGTTTTTGCTCTCATTTCACGTGATTGGCTGTTGTTCGACATCCCCGGTGTGGCTGCGCTTGATGTCCATCTTGACAAGGTGCCTACCTGTCTAACACCCACTACCTCGTCCATACTGGCTCCAGGAGACTGTGAATCGTTGCTGCGGGGATGGGTACCAGGTGCGCGATCCTTGGGACCGTGCTAGCCTCGAAGAGTGGTACCATGCACTCAGTTTTGAACCGACTACGGTCCAGTCACCGCCTTGTAATTGCTAGATTCCCCAAATACAACGTCTTTGTGTTTGCCTGCGGAGGAGTGTGGGTCGGCTCCGTTGATGGAACCTGGCTGCAATCCACATGTCTCCTGGTCTTACTCGTTCGAGTTTACACTGGATATGTGGTGTGTGGGTGGTGCAACGCATGCCACCCATGGTTCCTCTGTAGGCGCAGGAGTCCTGTTGCTGTCCAGCTGGAGGCCGCAGTGACAGGCAATTTCGGAACCGGATGCTGCCAACCTTGGATGGAACTGCAACTTCCTCCTTCAGCGGCGGCTACAGGCTCGCGTTCAGGGATCATTGTGTGACCCGGATGAACTGGAACGCCGTGTTCTACAGGGAGCAGTGCTGCGGTCAGGCTTATTCTTGGTTTTCGTTTACTTGTTCGCATGTATCATCGCGTCGAATTTTTTTCTTTTGCGGACGACCTCAAGATATGGCAGGCGATCGGAAATCAAGAAGACCGCGAATCGCTGCAACGAGACATGGATTATACTTTTGGATGGTCAAAGCCTAGTCTGCTTCCGTTCAACGCGGACAGGTGTAAAATAGTTCATGTATCCCCCACAAGCTCAGTAATACACATAGATTGGGAGACCGCATGCTGAGAACAGACTCACAGTAACGCGATATTTGGTGGTGATGTAAGATGATCTTGGCTGTTCAGAGCAATCCGTGAATTTATCGAAAACCGCGAACCAACATGTCTGTCTGTTACGGAAGGCGTTTAGGCGGTTTGACCCTTCCATCTTGCCGCAAATGCTCAGCGCGTATGTGAGGTTCATTTGGTATACAAGATTCAGGCCTGTCAAACTCGGATTAAAACGCGATATGGCTGTAATCGAGACCTCACAGCGAAAGGCAACTGAAACTTTAATAGCTTGCTGTATCTGCCGTACCAACTAAGACTGAAGCCCCAGAGCTGCACGGCTGAAGTTGCCGGCGTTTACACAACAATCTCATTCTGACATACCCGATTTCAAAAAAATCTTCGTCCTGCTTGTCGCCACCTTCTGAAACTTATCCGCAACTTAAAGCTGAGTGACCACCGGTTGAAACTGGCTACCCAAAACAGTCGGCTGGAATGCTGCCGGAATAATTTTCGCTGAATGTGGCTTTCGGTTTATGTCATTTCTGCACTCACATTATCCGTCTGTTTACAATGACTTGATCAAACTTCCAAACTTCCGTCTCCCTTAGCGTGACATCACATTCACTTTTCTCCGTCTTGACAGACTGTGTTCTTTTTTAAACTCATCACCTTTGGTCATGTGTGATCACCATAAAGTATCTCGGCGTTCTTTGTCTTACACTTTATCCTGATCGATTTACATAATTGAAAATTGCCAACAGGTTAAAAGACTTCCATTTTACTTCCTCATGCCTAAGTTGCTCTCCGTACCGCGTGCTCTAATTTTAAGTTTTGTAAATGCTTGTTGTCTCTTCCATTAGCTGCGCAGTTTCACTGTCATTTTCCCCGTACATCTTCAAAAGGATTATACGGTTACAAGTTTATTTCCCCATGTTCTGGAGTAAACAAAGAATTCCTGTTCACTTATGGTTAACTGGTGATCTGCATGCAATAAGTTCTCATGTAACATTCTGAACGACCCCTCTCATCTCCCACCCACTGGTCCAACCAGTACAATCACTAGTTCTTCTACATCTTGTCCTATATTTCTCGCCTGTTAGTCGACTCAAATGCAGTGATGCATCTATTGCGAGACCGTTTGCTTGTTTGAAAATGTACTCTATTTGTTTTACTTGTCACTTCGAGTCATTTTTCCATCGATTCTGTGTAAATTACTTAAAATGCTCTACGACGGTGTGTGAACCATACCCTGACCACCATCTGTGTATTAGGTGTTATTGATTCCGCTCGTCGGTCGCGAGAGGACGCAGACACACACATTGTGTTCACCAGCCTCCATGCAGTCGAGGTCGATGGATTTGCATGCGTTCACATGGACATTATAGTGAGGCCGCCCCATGCTGAGGCTGATGTTGCATTCATGATGCTTCTTCACCGCAGTTGGGCTAAACCAACTTACACATTTTAATGTGGATAAAATTCATTACATGTTATTTGGTTTGTTCTGCGTACTTGATAATCTTCTCCCAACTTGCACACGTCGCTCATGCAAATTGTGGTAAATTTGCGTACTGTTATCGCGTGATGCTTTTCAAATAACTTTCGGTCATTTTGTACTTATCGCGTATGCACCTTTAACCAATTTCTTCCATATGCTCATTTAGCGAGTATTTATGTCGTCATATGTGTTTATTTTAGTCGATATCCGCAGTTCGAATGATTGGCTGTTGTTTGACATCCCCGGTGTGGCTGCTCTTGATGTGTATGTTGACAAGGTGCCTACCTGTCTATTAACCACTACTTCGTTCATACTGGCTCCAGAAGACAGTTGGTCGTTTCTGGAGGCGACGGAGTGCATGGTCCTTGTGGTCGTGCTAGGCTCGAAGACTGGTTCCATGCACTCATTGTGGAGCGGACTACGATCAAGCCACCGCCTTGTGTGTGCCTGATTCCCCAACTACTGTATACTGGTGTTTGCCTGTGAAGGAGGGTGGGCCGGCTCCGTTGATGAAAGGTTGCTTCCATCCGCATGCCTCCCGGTCTTATTCCTTCGGATTTACACTGGATATGGGGTGTGTGGATGGAGCTGTGGGTGGTGCAGCGCAAGCCATCCATGGTCCCTCTGTAGGCGCAGGCGTCCTGTGGCTTGCCACAGTGACAGGCAAATCCGAAACCGGATGCCGCGAACTATAGTGAGGCTACAGATGCGCAGTCTACTTAGCTGTCCCATTCTTTTGAACTTGTGCATTTAACACAGGCTGATCCGCCAGTTTTGTCAAGCCTTGACCTATTTAATCCTAGTGTGCCATTGTACCAGAATCGATGTGTACGATGCGCGATTTTTCTCGCTGGTGTACTGACTCTGTCTCGGTGTTTCTATCATCCCCACTGACTTAATGTGAGTTGAATTTCTGAAAGGAGTGGAGCCTGACACGCTAGATGCTTGTCCTCTTAGAGAAGTGAGTTGGGACTAGGGGTCATGGAGACACAAACGCTGCAGTGCGGTTGAATCGTCTGACCCTCTTCTTCGCATGAGATACCATCATAGTCGTATTCACTTTCGAGGATCCAATCGTGTTGTTCACTAAGTGCTCGAGTGTCTTAGTCCACTTGTCGCACCTCTTCATGCGCACACATAAACAATGGTTAAGTGGAGCCACAGTGGGTAATTCCAAATGGACATCGGTCACCTTGTTGTACTGTCTCACTTCTCGGACCGAGTTTCCTACACATTTAAGACGGAATGATCTAATGCACTCTGAGCACTTTATACCTATCTTAAGGACTTCACCGCGTTTTCCTAAAGAGCACACGTCGCATTGCGTCAGATGTAGGCTGTTAGTTGTCGTCTTCTAACCCCTTGCCGATTGTGAGAGTCACTGCAATTTCCGGGGTACACAATGAGATAAAACTTAGTGCTCGTCACAAGCTGATCGTGTCAACCCCATGTGCGCACCACTTGTGAGATAGATCGGAAGGCTGATCGGCCGGTTTTGGCGATTTGTTGGTGAACGTGGAAAACCGAAGCTGGATATGCACTAAGCTGGTTACCAATGACCAGCAAACACTGGATAAAATTGTCCCGTAGCATCTTTGAAATGTGCCCTATATGAGTGAATCCTGACTTCTTGGACGGCTCTGCTACTACTCAATCGAGCAGATAACCACAGCCTGGTAACTATCCGAAGATGACAAGGGGTTGTACACAAGAGCTGTAAGCACAGTCAGGATTGATAGAATCATGATCCGTAAGAAATAATTCCAGCACAAAATGACTCAGAGTGTAAAGAAAAACTGTGCGATCCGAATGACAGGAAGCTGTCAGCAGATGGAGTAAAGTTATTCCGTTAAAATGAGAGGTGCGAAAGCGATAGGTTGCACGTTGCAGTAGTTGAGTACAGGCGCCACGCGTTCTCACAATCTAGTAAGGGGGCTGATACTACTGGTCGTTGATATCAGCATGACCCTTAGAAGTATTAGCTGTTCACTTATTCCAAGTGTTTTTCTTGGCTGTCCGCCTTGGTCCAGTTTTTATGTGTTTCACTCACGCTACCTAAGTCATTTCCATAGTTTCTCGTAAACGAGCATACTTAACCCTTTTATAACGGATCCCGACATGTGGAGAAAGTGAATGGGAGTATGATGACGAGCTTAAGAGCGTCTGGTTTAGCAGGATTTTGTGTCTCTAGGTCCTCAACTAAACTCGTAGGCAGTTTCTTTTGGTGAACTGTCCTCGAACATGGATACGTGGGCGTAGGTAGGAATAATCAAAATAAAAATGTGATTACTCACTTGGGTGACAGGTCGGTTTTGCTCTCAAGGCCATGCCGTTCCTTTTCTTCTGCTGCCTGGTAAAGAATAAGGATATGTTAGAGAGTAAAAATAGCATACATGCTGATACTGAGTAACTCTATAGCCACAGCATCAGGGGGTATACACTAATAGGCTACAATTACTACTTGCCTGACGGTGCGCATGTTGGCATAGCAGTCGTGTCCACCACTACCTTATTCTTCACCTGGCCAATTTGTCCCACTTACTTCAGATTGGTTCGATCCACGGCGTCCACTTTCTCCTGGTTATACAGCTAGTGATCGCGACGCCATGCTAAGGCCACGGATAGGTAATTTTCGTTTGACTAGGTAGATGTATCGTTGTGAACAGGAAAATCAGGAGACGTAGATTGTGAGCTGACATCGCCATTACGTACATCCTTATCAATCGCAAAACATGCGACAATGACAGGTGAAGCAACGAACATCGCGCCAAAGATATCGTGAAAAGCCAAATATTTGAGCTGCCAGTGAAGACTGAGCCATAGTCAACCATTTTTGAGCGCACAGCGGTGGTCGTTCGCGATCAACAACGGTGGCCTCCAGCAGTCTAAGCATATGGAGCTGCCGATCTCGGAACAGAACTAGGAATGACTCCTCAGGATTGACTCGGTGCCCTGTGGAAATCAAGTGCTTTGTGACTGCCGAAGCAGCCCGATTTAACTGATTCCTTCGTCACAGAACCCACCCGACTGAGTAACCACTTGGGGATGTGTTCATTGATTCTGACACCTAAACTTCGGTCAGCGCGCCCAGCATAGCTGTCTCAACAGCTGCGGGGGAATTTATATAGGCGATGGGACATGCACTTTCTCCTCGTCGGTGTGTTAATCGAACACATAAGCATAGATTTTGTCGATGTGGGTAGCCGCATTGTACGCACTTTTGAGTGGAACCCTTATCCGTTTCTCGGTGACTTATACGGTGGTCACCTTAGTCTACTAGAGGCCACCGTCATTGATCTCGAATGACTGTCGCCGTGTATTGAAAAATATCGGACTATGGCTTTAAGCCTATCCTGGTATCGCAAATATTTGGCTATTTACCATCTCTTCTACACGGTGATTGTGGTTTACCCTTCAATGTCATTGTAATCTCGAAGAATGAACGAAATGGTGACGTCATCTCGCAGTCTACGTCTTCTGGTTTTCCTGTTCGGAAATATAAAGGAACTTCTTGTTTCAAATGTGTCGTTAACAGTCATCTCGTCAATGGTGGTCAGACGACCACAAATTACTGAAGTCAATCTACTCGTGATTAAGTGTACTGGCGAATTCGCTTTTAAGCGACTGTCTAGTTTCCGACGTTTCCAGAGATTTTGGTGCCTCCTAGTGCACCAACTTACCCTCAAAACGATACCGGAAGGCTGTCATCTCTCGTCTAGATGTGTACATGATGATATACATTCTGGGCAGGTTATTGTTCAGGAACAACAGCGGCTCTTGTAAGTTCCGTTGGCCAGATAACAGAACTGATCTCCCAGGGACCCATCCGGTTATGATGATTATTGCTCTCATTCACGGCATTTGAAATGCGTAATTTATGTGCAGTCGCCTCGTCACGTGTTGTGTGAAGTTCAACTTTGAAACTTCATAGCAGAACCTTAAAACAAAGAGTGAAGAACCTATCAACGGCACAACTATGAGTCACTTAACACAAAGAACGCATTTTCAACTGGACAACGATCGAGTCCCAATTCCAAACACCGTGTTATCAGCGGCGAGCGGTTCAGATTCCGAAAGTGAAGCATATTTTAGTAAGCAGGTGCTAGGTCACATAGGGTTAACTTATTCAGCCTTAGTCTTTAACTTAGCCTTCGGACCTTAGGCAGAATTCTGACAAACGAACCTTCAATCTCAGGACAGTTTGCAATTGTGCGTTACAACCCAAACGAATAGCAAATACTCAAAATCGAACACTAGAGTCCTAACTCAGAAGTCATTCATCGTTTGCACAGTTCAGTGACCCGCTGATCAACACGCCAACTATAAACTACCATGTCAGGGTTCGAATATCGCCTCCGGTTATCTCCACCTGCAACACCCAGGCGAGAACGAAGCAAGTCTCGAAGGGGGTGTTTGGATCGATTAACGCCGAAACCACTCCCCTCCTTGGATATGATCTCATTTACACTGTTTTCTGTGCATCGGTTCAATAAATTTTGGATGGACGCAGGTCTGTTCAAAGGGACCTATTGGCGTTGCTTGATATGAATCATGACTTTAAGCCTTTCCTGTCTGTAAACTCCACTCTGTAGTCAGAGCAAACAACCACGAACAGGATCGTTAACCGGATTCCCTCTTGCCTCATACAGCACACGGCGCTCAATCCCAGGGCGGTGTTGCCGTATGGTTATTCCCGTCACGTTTCTGAGCCACCGGAAGAGGCTTCTCATAACGTCAACCTCCACGGCAACGACATTGGATTCAAGGTATTATCTCAGCAATGGCGGGAACACCAAAGCAAACAGATGGCGCTCGATGATGTTTCCCACATTCACAACTACTTAATACTTATGGTATGTTTTCCAACAAAGCCTACAGTCCCCTTGCTGTGAATAGAATTCAAGGTCGGGAAAAGTGAACTAAGACACTCCTTTTTTACCATAAAGTAACTTTGAACAGTTCATAAAACCGTGAGAAGCAAGGTGTGAGGATCGTATTTCGGGAGTTACTGTATTGGTGTCCATGTCTCATTACTTGAGGCCACATCTACCAAGGTAAGTCGTGAACCGTGCGTCACCAAGTTTGTTGCAACCAAAACAATAGGAAAACGATCGCTATGGCCGTCACTTCATAGGCCGGTGGAAACATCGAGGGCATAGGCACAGGTCTTGACGGCTTATGTCACATCTGGCTTAGATTGTGGACTTCTCTGTTTGAAGTTGACTGGCTTAACAAGGATTGAACAACGGGAAATGTTATCTCAGTTTGCGCTGCTTCTGCCATCTACGAAACTCAGTGGTTGGTAACATTCCGGCTCCAATTGCACTTTGGGTATCTTACGTAGAATTTAAGGACTCCGGAACTCTCGTAACCGCCCATATTTCCGCCCAGACATATATCGGTGCTCAATGCTTGGATGATGGAAGGCCAAACCAAACTACAACGACTGCTCGGTGACCTTAAATTATTGTCCGGTTATTTTGAATAACCAAATCGTGTGGCCTGCGACACATAGTTTCAATTTGGACCGTGGTTTCGCATGAAGTGCATCTCCTGTCTGTCTGGTCACTAGGACTACGTATGAAGTCGCTCACTGCCCCTCAGTTTGGGCTTCGTAATTGTCTGAAATCTTCAGATAGAGAGATCCGGATCATCGTCAAAGGCGTTGAACACAGTGCCGCTAAGTTTGATTTCAGAACGGCAGGTGAATTAAGTGCAGAGTTTCCAGGTGGGTAACACTCAGTAGTCACGTGAATTGTGATTTCCTTGGTGCGTGTTTGAAGTGTCTGCTGGGCGTTCGATCACCATCCGCAAACTCTTTTCCGGTGTTCTGCCTGACCGAACTAAGCTAGCATGACTACTGGTGTGGACTACAGCAATGACTTAACGGTAGTCTTGAATTCGACAAAGGTTGAAACAACAGACAACTAAAATTAAATGAAACTACGCGACCGTCAGGTAGGCTTATCTGACAGCAAATTGCGTACTCTAACAGTGGCGAAGGTAAAGTGTTCCGAGGGGATTAACTCATCATTTTGAGACGGTTCTATTCTTCGGATAACTCTTGAGCCAACGACACGACACTGAACCACTATGCGAGTTCATTGCGCCAAACTACAGGTATTTAACTCTTCTGCATTCGGTGGACTCTTGGGTTACACAGCGATGCATTGTTTACAGGATTATCAATGAATCCATTACAATCATCACTTACAATGATCCACTCTGATCACCAATTTTACAATCCTCCTGCTGTGGGGAAGATTCTTCCTGTGAGTTGAGGACGATACGTTTCAGAAGTTCTCGGAGGTACTCTTCCTGAACACACATGCGGAAATCAAAATGCAGTAAGATCGTGAATAGCATTTGCCAAGAACGATCATCTGAGTTGGACTTCATGAAAATTTCCGAATAGTGAACTCAACCATGATGCTTCATCTGTCCTCGTTAGAACACAGTTTTGCTCAACCTGCGCGTTCACGAACGCTTCGTTTGGAATTTTCATGGTTAGTTTCTAGAATGTTCTCCTGACTCATTACTTATGGGATTCGGAACATTAAGCAACAGTCCGATCATAGTAACACATCCTTTCGAATGTTTGATCGACGAACTGATAGACAAGCTGACTTTCATTCGAGTAACCATTTTTAATAATTATAATAATGATAACAATTACAAGTATACACTGTAATCTCAAGAACTTCGAGAGCCCGCGGCGCACATGACCAAATGTTGGAGTCTACTCTTAAACAGCTTCTTCGTTGGGGAGTTTACAAACCTCCGCGTTCGCCAGCCTAATTTATGTGGGTGATATATATGTGGAGCGGTCGATTCGAACCACTTCATATGAACCGCTAACAGATGTGCCGACAAGATCCATGCCTCCTAGGGGTCAGTAAAATGAGACACACGGAGAACAGTGGAGTGATATGCAACTCTGTCGCTCGTAATACTGTATCGTGGGTAGAAATATAAATTTAAATCTGTACAACTCCATGGAAATATGCTCAAAACGTTAAGCAAAGTATCTGTCAACTGTTAATACTCTGGTCGTTCTTTCAGTCCTCTGAAGTAAATAGTGACGAAATCTAAATCCCTCTATGTTTTGAACTGATACACCGATTTCGCCTCTCCTAAGAATTCCAGTGGGCTGCTCCAGGCCTTTACCACTCTCCGCTCGGAACACAGTAGATGGACGACTCACTTAAGATCGGGGAACACAAGCGTTTACCGGTGTCCGCGTGTGCTACCGGATGTTCGCAAGTAGAGCAGTTGCCTCAGTATGAACTACTGCGCATCACGATGGGGTCAACTCGCACCGGATTACAGCATATGTTGTACGTCCCTAGTCTTCCGCGCCTATCTTCGTACGGTAGATCCTGTCAACTTGGGATAAGGCTGGAAGCGACATGCTGGACCCTTTCAATGTTCTGTGCTACTAGTCGGATGATCCAACAATAATTGGGTGAGCAGTACTCTAGGATTGGTCAAACTATGGAAGAGAAGAAAAGAGTGACAACCCCTTCAGAACAGATGCGTAGACTGTATTTGAGCACCCAAAGCATACGCAGTCCGTTTCGTTGTCCACAGACTTCACCTCGCTGCATGAGAGTATGCGTAAGTCTTTTGCAAAAGATGTGCGATGTGGAGGTTGGTCGTGGATCGTTTACGTTCGACTGTCACCCACATTCCTCAGGTTTATAACTGCTGACTTAGATGGATTAACTAGTAGAGCTTTGCATTCATGTCTTGTCCAAACTACTCTGCTACTACATAAGTGACCTGGCATGAAACCGAGCTGTGCGAGTGTCAGGAGTTAGTTTAATCCCAACCGCCACAGTAAACGCTTCTTCACCATCTTCTCAAGTACCCTGGCTAAAGCAGCGTTCAGATAAATCAACTGATAGTTGTCTACTTTACTGGGGCCACCGCCTTTTAGAATCGGCCTTATTACCCAGCATTCTTAATCGCTTGACAATGGACCTTCTGATAACGACCAGTTTAACAACTCAGCCACAGCAGGTGAGATAATTGTGGATGAGGTATTGGGAATCAGTTAATGAAGCCTCTTAAGCTTAACAAGCTTGGTTCTGTCAAGGTTGCCGAGTAGTTGACGCACTTCTTCAACACTGCACTACAGACAATCAAGTTTAATATGGCCGATACACGCTGGATTCTGTCCAGACACCTGAATATTTGTGGATATGGTAGTAGATTTTGTCATGAAAACGGACACAGGATCACTATTGGAAGTTGGGAGCTGTCCATCCGATTCTTCTTGCACCTGTAGTTCTTTTGCAGCTTTCAGTGGAAGCTTAAGGTAAACAACGATTTACGTTGGAGCAGTCTTCTCTGTGGCTGCAAGCTTCTCTTCAAAGTGCAAGTGCTCGCTTGTTTTCGCACTGTTGCAGGTATTCCGATGCCTTTTATACATCACGTTGTTGTTGTTGTCCCTGGCAGAGTCAGAGCGGAGATGTATGTCCCATAGTCTGCTCCGCCGCGCACTCGATTTATCTTACTGCATCTACACCTATTGTGACTTGTTCCGTCCGGCTTTTCAAGAGGGTCACAAACGGAGACCACAACGAATTTACTCCCCTTTTTGTAGCCATTTTTATAGTCATCCACTCGAAACTGCTAAAAGTTAACGAAAACAAACCATCCTAAAAATGCACTGGTATCTGAAACGGAACACTCATGGGATCAAAACAGGCTTGCATATATAATTGCGCGGTGAATTTGTAAGATTAAAATGCATAATGGTGCAGATGAAGCGTAGCCGATCAATCGATCATGAACAGTACGAAGCGGTCGTCTTTGCTAAGCACAATCATACGTGTGGGGAACGTTGAACATTAAAAACTACGACCTAGATTTCGGATATTATTACGAAACTCGGGTCATTATTAAAGAAGCTACTAGCTACGCTACCTCAGCAACAGTTCAGCATTTCCAGTCCTAATAAATGGATAAATAAACTTATTTACGAGGTAGGTTCATGAAGACATGGTTCATTTGTGTTAGTTGTGGTCGTTTAGGCCATTCAGTTTATCGGTTAGTGTCGTTTTCCATCCCACAAGCCTGATTCGTTCTATTGTTTCTAATAGTGGGAGCACTGTCATTTGCAACTGTCCCTGGAAAACTATCTGAGCTCCCTCCCTTACTGGAATGAAAGAAAGATCCAGTAGCACAACACAGGTGCGTTCCAACTTACACGTCGACAAATCTGTGCGCTTTCACTTGCGTTCTTATCAAGATGGTTTTTAGCAGCGTTGTGAGTTTATCTTTTATTAATATGAATCAATATCAGAAATCAGTTCAGGGTGAAGAATTCTTTTCGGTAAACTCTCATCGGACCCAAACGTTTGCATGACATTGATTGTGGGGAAAGTGCAAATTCGGACTGGGATTGACTTCTTGACTCTCTGAATGATCAAAATCGATAACTTGAGACAGAGATAGAGATGGTAAAACAAGTAAACTACCTAAACATGCATACGCAAAGCTGAGTAGTCCAAAGTAATTAAGTAGGCAAGATAACAAGTAAGATAACTAAGTAACAGTGTCCGTTGTCCAAGATAGTAGTATCGGCCGTATAAATCGTTTTTGTACACATAATTCCGGCTTCAGATGGTGAATGTACATAGCCTCGACGATGGATAAGAGCTGTTTGCGGAATCCTTGGGGGAAGTGTTCAGGTAGTGAGTAAATGACTTTGATGTCATTCTCTGAAACTGTGTGGCCACATTCAAGGAGGTGCGACATGATTGAGTTGCCTGAAGATTTCATTTCGCCTTTGTAAAACCATGCCGGGATGTGTTCACGAATCCTCTGAGATAGGCGCCTCGTCGCGCGACCCATGTATCGTGCACCACAGGAGCACAAGTACTGATAAACGATCTTTGAACGGGTCAACGACGGTAGTCTATCCTTCAAGGGTTTTGTAAGCAACGGCTTATTGTGAAAACGACTCTCAGGCGGGCCGCGAAATAAGTTTTCTCGACAGCATCTTTCAGGCGTCTGGATAACATATCAGCTGCAGAATCACCCTTAAAGTGTATATGTATGAAAAGCTCTTTCTTAGGAGCAATTCTCCTAGGTGGCTTTCGATTGAGTTCCTTCAAACGTTCCATGATAAATTTATCTTTTCGATAATCCAGGTGCCCAGTAGGTAACCAGTAATCTCTTTGAGCAATTAAAATCATTTCCGCAGATTCGGTCGCTTTGACTCAAATCGTCGGAATGAATACATAAGATCTCAGAAGACTGTTTGAAATAATTCAAGCAGCTCGTACCCGATCAAATTTTCCTTAAAATGTTAACAACAAATTACCGCACTAGTTAATACCGGACAAGATTCTCTGCATATTGTTAACTACGTGCTGTAAAAACGTTCAAATTATTGCATTGTAAAGAATTAATACAGTTCAGATAATTAATTAACTAAACACGGTTGCAAAGAGATCTCTTTTCGGGAAATCGCATCAGGCCAATACGTTTAAATGGATAACTGGGATACGCGTAAGCTAATGAAAGTTGAAACGAAAGTAGGAGAGAGTCTGAATGTATTCGGGCGGAAGTTAAATTGATCGGACCAATTGGTAAAGCCTGTGTTGTCGATGAAGGCTGACCTTATTTGACCCCACTTGACACAGTTCGCTGACCACTTCGCGAAGCAAATTGGGTCAGCTGAGAAGTGATGCTACCTTTGGTCTCATCAATGTTCCATGCGGATGGATCCTTATCACGGCCACGGCAGCGTAGGAGATTGCAGTAGAGCATCCTCTGCTTGCAAAGCTCCGGTTGCGTTAACTTGATCGCCTTCGATTCCGAAATCTTAAGGAGGCGGCCCTTAATCCACTTGGGATGTCGTTTTGACACGGTGTAGAAAACGTTGAAAGCATCATTGGTCGGATTTTGGTGCACGCTTTAACACCTTGGACAGACAGTTCCTGTTTTATGGAATTTAGGATCAGCAGATTGATGGCGTGGCTATGGGTTCGCTCTCAGGACCAATTTTCGTTGATGTCGTACTCGCAAAGCTTGAATGTTGTCCTATCCAACGTGTCATTGCTTCACTGAATTTCTACTGCAGGTATATGGATGGCACGTTCGTTCTCGGTGATTGAAGCGCGGATTTACTTGGTTTACTCGATCAACTCAACGGTGCAAATCCATCATCGAAGTTCACCAAAATAATCGAAAAGAAGGAAAGCTGTCGTTCCTGGACGTACTACTGGTGAGACTGGGCGACGGCTACCTTGAGAGAAGAGTCTACCAGAAGGGTCCTTGAGTTGGACAATACACGCACTTTCTGAGTTTCGTGCCTCTGAAGTATAAACGTAACAGTCCGCTGCATCTATTTCCGAGCCTCCAAAATCTGCAGCCCAGAGACGATA